TAGCCCTCTTAACACGAACGATTTTGTAACACGCGTTGACACTCTGAATAGCCCTCTTAACACGAATGATTTTGTAACACGCGTTGATCGTTTGGGAAACGTTGGTTCACTGGATTCAGCGTATCTTCCAAATGCTGACATGTCTCATTGTACAATGTAAAAAAACACATTTGTGTAATAGCACCACCAATCCCATCAGAAAAGCCTTTAAATACCAGGAAGCTGTCAAGTTCACAGTGGCAATCCACGTTTTCAAAACTTGTACTTTTTCCTCAAATGCTTTATCGTTGGCAGTACTATCAGTTGTTTCCCTTGAAGCAAGAGGTTTGTTCAGTTATTTTTGAGAAAATGCCAAACAGTCAAGTCCAAATACCAGAATTTGCTAGTTCTTCCAAGTAAAAATGGTGTGCCACGAACAACACAGCTGAGCTTGCAACTCAATCACACGATCGTCTCCTCGTGACTACTACCGTACTTCAATGTGCACAAGTGCTTTAGGCGTGCTTCCTGTATCAGTGTCGCCGGCCTTTGTAACAAAATACCACAAACTTGGTGGCTTCTAACAATAGAAATTTATCGTCTCAGTTCTGGAGGCTAGAAGTCCAAACCAACGTGCCAACCAGGCCATTTTCTCTCCAAAGCTCTAGATCCATCCTTGTCCCTCTCAGCTCTGGCAGCACCGGTGCTCCTTGGCTCGCAGGCGCAGCAGGACTCCGTGGTCACATGGCCGCCTGTCTCTTTTGTAAGGACATCACTCAACATGGATTAGGACCCACCCTGCTCCATGTGACCTCATGGTGACTGGTAACATCTTCCTCTTTCCAAACAAGGTCACATTCACAGCTCTCGGGGGTCAGAACCTCAGTCTGTCTTAGGGGACACAATTCAATCCTAACACTTCCCATTTTGTCATACAAGTGTTCTCAAGGGTCTAGATTTTTAAAAAATTTTTATTGGTTTTATCAGGGTCATTTTTAAGTGAGACTGGCAATATTATGAGTCAGAATCAACTCGATGACAACAGATGTGGGGTTTCTTTTTGGTTTGGCAGTATTTTTCCTGTGTGGCTGGGAAGACCATGTTCCTAATAGTTTCACGCTACTGCCTTGATTCACGCCAAGACACCAACCGTCGATCCCCTCAAAGCCTCGGACTCCCGGGGATCCACAGACCACGTTTTGAGGACCACTACTCCAGGTGTCACCCCCAGCTGTCTTGAAAACGAAAGGTCATTTCTGTAATGTAAAAAATTAGTGAAGACTGTAGCTTTGGAGACTGTCATATAGTGAAAACCCATTTGGAAGTGACTGTCAGAGGACAATCTGACTGAAGAGCTGACTGCCTACTGCCATGTTTCTCAACCTTCTAGGGGGCCGCCATGAATTGGAATTGACAGCAACTACCAACAGGGAGCTTTATTAGACACCTTTTTCCTAATTGCCCATGACACCTACATGTTACGGATGTACAATGTATACAGTGGCCACTTAGAGGACCACAAACGATTGCACTTTCAGATTTTGCCCTCAACCCAAGAACCAGTTTTTATCCCTGTTGAGAATGTCTGGCCTGTGGCCAATAACAACTCCCTTTTGGGGTTCATGTCTTCCCCTATTTATTTTTCAGCATTCCCCTGTTCACATCACAGCATAATGGCTCAGAAGGTAGGGGAGTTTCTAAGGGAAACTGGAGGTGTCCCTTACGCTACACAAACCTACATCAGGAAAAACAGCCTCTTTTAATATTGACTGTGTTACTTGCAAGGCTTTGCCCAGACACTGGGGAGGCACAACCTATCTCAGAAAAGGACTCACCATGCAGTTCTTCTGGGACTACCCTTAAATATAAAATAGGCCTTGGGACTTGGATGGATTATTTATATAAAACTTAAAATTTCAGACAATGTTCCCTCCCACAAAATTCAACACTTTTCTCCCTATGCCCTAAAGCAAGCAAAACCTGTGGCGTAACAACAAACGTTCTCATCGCCTGCAGCTCTTCACCAAGGAGCCGGTAACGGGGGCCAGAGCCAACGGTCAGGCAGCTCCATGCTTCTACCAAAGTCTGAGTGACGAGAGAAGTCAAAGGAAGGGTAAAGGTGGCCCTCCAGGTCCTCTCAGGCAGGGCAAGTCTTGTGATATCCTCTAGGGAGCCAGGACTCTGTCTGAAGAAGAGACGCCTCAGAGGGCTTCAGGTCGCTGGTACTTCCAGAAAGCCACCTCCCCGTCATCACTGCAGGAGGCCAGGAGCCCCAGCTCCTTGGGGTTCCAGGCCACACAGTTGACATCCTGGGAGTGGGCCTGAGGCAAGTGGGCTGTCAGAGAGAAGGTGGGCTGCTGGGGGTCAGAGCCGGGGTCTTCCTCAAATACTCGGATGGCATCGTCCCCACAAGCTGTGGCCAGTGCCCCTGTTAGCTGACACCTGGGAGGAACACGCTCATCAGTGGGTGTGTAGGTGGCCCCTCCCTCCCCAAACCCGCTGTCGCCGAGTTGATTCCAACTCCTAGTGACCCTACAGGACGGAGGAGAACTGCCCCGTAGCGTTTCCAAGGAGCGCCTGGTGGATTCCAACTGCCGACTTTCTGGTTACCAGCCGAGCTCTTAACCACTGCGCCACGAGGGCTCCCTTCCCTCCCCAACTCTAGCAAATCAGCTGAGAGATTTGTTCCACGGCCCCTGGACCATTCTCTTCTGAATCTTCAGGTCTCTGCTAAAAACCTCTTCTCGCCGAGTCTCCCTCACCTAATATACAGCCACAAACATCACCCCAAGTTTTCAAGTGCTTCCTTCTGATTTTCTCCCAATGTAACTAGCCTAAAAAAACCACACAGGATTCTGAATTGTGCTTTACTCACTAGGCGTAAGCAATTTTCCATGTCATGAAGTATTCTTTTTTTTTTTTTTAACACCTATATAATATGCCACTGAGTTTTACAATTTATATAAGTCCAATTCTTTCTGAACGTATAGGTTATTTCCAAATGCTTGCTAATACAAAGTTTGGACGCACATCAGTTTTTATCACCATTTAGGATTATTTCCTCGAGACAGATTCTCAGAGCCAGAACTGCTCCCTGACCTGCCGTCATACGAGTGGTGTGGCTTTTCTAGACACCATGAGGGCAGTGTTACCAAACTATGAGAACCCAGTCACAGGCGTTTGTGGATGGCGTGGTGCTGTGTGAACTCCAAGGGCTGGTGCTGACCACACAGCCTGGATCTTAACAGCGGTAGAGGCCTGGGCCTTAGAGGCTGCTCTTGGCTCCTAAGAACCCCAGGCCAGTCAGCTTGAAGCCAGCATGCTGAACAGCTGGGCCTGATCTGACAAAACAAGGTGGCTGTTTTCAATTCCAAGTGGATAAGTGGATAGCGGGCAGCTAAGTGGACAGCGGGCAGCTAAGTGGACAGCGGGCAGCTAAGTGGATAGCGGGCAGCACAGGCTCTTTACTTCTCTAAAGTCCCTGGGGGTGGGGGGCTCACCAAGCGACATCGTAAATGGTCCTGGAGTGGAACCCCGACAAGGTGCAGATACATTTCCAGCTGGGGTCAGAGCTGCTGCACGCCACCCCTGCAGGACAGACTTCCCTTAAGCCGACGCCGTGTCTGTGTCCTGGGCACCCCGGGGGACTAACGACCTCACTAAGGAGGGAGAACCCCGCTCCCCCTCCCTCCCTACAATCAGTGACAGGCTCCATCCCACAGCCCCCATTCTCGCTGATCAGCCTCACACACAGAGGCCAGAATTCTAAAGCAGAATTCTGAAGAGGAAACATCCTTGTTCTTTAAAAAAACCTTCTGCTACACACTCCGTCTGACTAGTCAGTCTGCTTTTGGAGGCCACCCACCAGCTTGCCCAGCCCATGTTATGCCTCCCCAAGCTTTATACCCTGTGCTCTATCTAAATGTGTCACCATTCCTGGCGGAAGTCCTACCTCTGATGCCTTAGCTCACGCTGTTCTGTTTTCACCTAGAATCCTCTTCTTTGCCCCTTCTCCTCGTGTTAAACTCCCACACACCCTCTCAGTTTGGATGAAGCGGCCCCTCCTCCACAAAGCTCTCCCTGACTCCCCTAGCACTTCACTGGGGCCCTCTGGCGGCTCGTCTCGTCTCCTGCCCCAGTGTGCTGAAGCTCACGTATGGGGTCATAGTCCCTTAACAGACTGTAAACTCCTTGAGGTGAGTCTCCTTCAGCTCTCCGAGGATCCTCACCTTGCGCGTTGCCTGGTAAATACTCCTTCCAGATGCGCACGGTACGGTCATCACTGCAAGATGCCAGGCGCTGACCACTGGGGTCAAAGGCCAAGCTCCACACGGTGGATTCATGGCCCTCAAGGGTGGCACAGCATACCCAGTCATCCTCCTCCTCCCGATAGAGCTTCACTGTGTCATCGTAGCTGGCAGAGGCCAACAGCTGGGCGGGGAAGGGGATACAGCACATGTCTGTACGGCCCAAAAGTGCCTGCAGTTCCAATACCCCTCCCTGCCAGGACCGGACAGCCCTGGGGATCTGCTTTTACAAAGAGACTAACTTTTGTGGGTCAGCTAATGATCCCCAGAAAAGCAACGCTGGGGCTGAAGAGCAGAGGGAGACGGGGTACAACCCCCCCACCCCAGATAATTTCCCACCAGATGCCCCGCCTAACTCCTACCTCCTGGCTGGGGTGCCAGACCACGTGTTTGACGTCTTGGGTGTGGGAGCTGAGGACACTGACGCACTCATACTCATCCTCTTCGTCAACTGTGGGAAAGAGGCGCGCTCATAAGCCAACTCTATCACGAGCCCAGAGGGGGATGTCTGCCAGCTGGCCCCCAACTCCACCTGGAGGGACCAGTCTCACCTTCCCAGACCCATACGCTTTTGTCTCGGCTGCAGGTGGCCAGAAGGTTGCCAGATGGGGCCCAGGCCACTGACTTGACCTCATTTTCATGGCCCTCGAGAGTAGTTACACACTGTGAAAAGGGAAGACAGACAAGAACCAATGGCAGCAAGAGCCCTGGGTCCTTCTCACGGGCACAGCCCAGCTGGCCCAGGTTCGCTCAGGTGCCTGAACCAGCCCTGGGGGCAAACAGGCAACAATCCTGGTCCCATCCCCCCTCGTTACCTCAAAGTCATCCTGGTTCTTTTTCCAAATGCAAGTGGTAGCATCAAAGCTGGCAGAGGCCAGGTAATTCCCACAGGGAGACCAGGCCACCTTCCGCACCGTGCGCTGGTGACCATCGGAAAGGACAGACTTGCAGATCCAGCTGTCACCTAAGGGCAGGGAACAGGCCAGGCCTGGAGCTGGGCGCACGAGAAGGTGCTGACGAGCTATCAACACCGTCTGATGCTGAGGCTCCTACGGAACCAAGCCGGTGTAGTCAGCAACATGCTTGTAGAGAAACGCTGTACACGGGGTCGCTAAGAGTCTGAACGGACTCCACCGCACCTAACAACGACTGACACTTTCCCCTGAAGGCCTGTTTCTAAAACAAATCTGGGAAGTCATCCACCTGATTTAAAACTGTCAGTGGTTCCCAAGTGCTCTCGGAATACAACGTAAACGTCACCATCGAGAGCCTGATTACTCTTTCGGGTGCTTTGCTGCCACCCTTCCCTTCCTATTTTCCTGTTTCAGCAACTATCACAATTCCTTCAACAGTTCCAGCCTGTCTCCTCACGTTTTCGCTTCAAGTCCTTGCCGCCTCCTTTCCCTGAAAACACCCAACTCGAAGGTCGCCTCTCCCTACTCTCCCCTGGCCTGCACCCAGGTCCACGGCCTGCCTCTCGGGTGCCTGCGCATTCCCCGGGCCCGGCACCCTCACTACACGCACGCAGAGCTCCCGGCGCAAGGGGTCGCAGAGGCAAGCCAGGTCTTACCCTCTCTGCCCCAGATGCGGACTCTACGGTCGCCCCCGCACGAGGCCAGCAGGGTCCCCGCCGGGTTCCAGGCCAGGTACCAGCAGCGGGAGTCCGGGTGCGCCGGCACACGGCCCAGCAGCACCAGGGAATCTTTCATGGCGTCCTGGCGCAGGGTGGGGAGGAGGTGGGTAGAAGTGGGCAGAGTCAGTCACGCCAACCGCAGGCCCCACGGCGCAAGCCCCCACGACACACAGTCCAGCCTCCCGGGCCGCAAGGTCCAGCCGCTTCCGCCGGGGGCCCGGGTAGTCCTGGGAACTGAAGTGCCCGCCGCTGCGGCCGCGCTGCCCTCTGGGAGTTGTAGTCGTCTGCCCCCTAGTGGAAAGCATCTAGGAACTGCTCTGAACTACCAGTCCCGTGAGGACCTGCGCAGGGAGCCGGCAGCGCGCCCGGCGGGTGACGTGCGTGAAGACCGGGCGGGGAGCCGGAGGAGGTGGGTGCGGAGAAGGAGGAAGCCGGAAGTGGGTCGGCCCCTGGTCGGTCCGGGCGTTGCGGTATCGGGTCCTGGCATCGCTCGGTCCCGGGCAGCTGCGCGGCGCCATCCCGGCCCTGAGGACTGCTGACCCGGTGAGGAACAGGGGCTGGCGTGGGGAGGGTCCTTTCTTGGCGCAGGTCGCATCCCAAGAGCGCATTTCCCGATCCCCAGTACCGGATCTCTGCGGCCCAGCGGGTCTTCCGCCGCTCGGAACCCTCCGGCCAAGAACCGGGGTTCGGGTCTCCCACACACCGTCAGCCGATCCTCCGCACCCCAGCCCCTTCTCCCTGTCTGTCCAGACCCCACCCGGCCCCCGGCCCTCGTTCGGTCCTCGGCCCCCTCCCCGGCAGCCCCATTTCGGGGACCCGGTCCCCGCCCCCCGAATCCCGCAGCCTCGGTCTCCTCTCAGCCGGCGGCTCCACCCCGTGGTCCGCAGTCGGCTGACGGCCCCGCGCCGGCCTTGCCTGCCGCGAACCCAGCGCCGTCTTCCCCGCGACAGGCAGGCTCTGCGCGCCCCGCGGAGGTCGGCGGCACCGAGCAGCGACCGCGGAGCGGCGGCGGGCGGCCCCGGCTATGTACGCCCCCGGAGGCGCAGGGCTGCCCGGCGGGCGCCGGCGGAGGAGCCCGGGAGGCAGCGCTCTGCCCAAGCAGCCGGAGCGGAGCCTGGCCTCGGCCCTGCCGGGCGCCCTGTCCATCACTGCGCTGTGCACTGCCCTCGCCGAGCCCGCCTGGCTGCACATTCACGGCGGCACCTGTTCCCGCCAGGAGCTGGGGGTCTCCGACGTGCTGGGCTACGTGCATCCAGACCTCCTGAAAGGTGAGGGCGAGTGTGGTACGGGTGGAGCGGAGATTGCAGGGCAGACCCTTGGCTGAAGGAACGGCTTCACCATTCCTGCGGGGTGTTCATGCCAGCAGGTGGCTCTGTTTGGGACCCGGCTTCTCATTAATTCTGATGTTATTCAGCTAAGCACCTACTCTTGGCGCCATGCTAATCTGGACCGCTGCTATTTTAGGATTCTGCCAGAGGAAGGGCGCTGTACGTGAAGAGGAGATAAAGGTGCTAGGCGTCTCAATTAGCTGCCTCTTTCTAAGGAAACTGCGGGATACAGAGAGGCTTCTTTGGGGCAGGCCGATCCATGTAGGGAGCAGGAAGCTTTTAATATGACAAAAATTTAGAAGACATTTTAGAGTTCTAGAGTAATTGGATTTTTATTAGAGAAAAAGGGAGTCTGGCATTTTATGGTAACCAGGAGTCAGCTCCATTGCCACTCTCGCTAAAACAGTTGGAATTTGGCCAGTGGGATCATTCTAAGTGTGTCTGAGGTAAGTCAGGCCTCCGCAGGAGGTAGGCAGAGGAAAAGGGGCTGTTCTCTTTCCTGGATGCAGGGGGAGGTCAGGGCCTACATTTGCCCAGTCCTGTCTCCACCATGAGAGCAAAGGCTGCGCGGTGTGAGGGCGGCCCCCCTCGCCTAGCTGTAACCCTACAGAAGGTCAGTGGCCCCAGACAGCTCTTTGTATCCGCACAGGTCTATCTTCCCAAAAGTCTTTTAAACCATTCTTGAAGATCTTCATATTTTCTCACTGTGCCACTCCCTAGTTACATTCCAGATGTTTCCCGCCCCGTGTATGAGACAGGCTTTCCTATTAGATATCTTCGCATTGCTTCTCTAAGGATTCAGGGCTTGGGGTTTGGTGAAAAGGCCTCAGTTCCCCTCTGTGCCTCGGATCAGGTGTCCCTTCTGCAGGTTTAGGCTGAAAAGCTCCATCCTGTGTCCTCGAGCATTCTCTTGCTGGTTTGAGTCTCTTGAGTTTGTGAGGATTTACGTAGGATGATTTTGTAGAGAACAGGATGGGGCTACTCGTTTGCTCCCAGAGTTTACTGTGATGGTAGCCTTTGCCAGTCGGCTCCTTCAGACCCAAGTTACATGCCTGCTGGAGGCGTTTGTGACAGGCAGCTTTTCTCTGGCAGGTAGCTAATTGCTCAGAGCGCGTTGAGTCTGTGTGGAGTCTGGGGGGCTTTTCCCTGAGTACACCCCCCTGTGCTTGCTTTCCCGGAAGCACAGCTGCCACTTTTCCACCACTCCATCCAGGCTCACCATCAGTCCCGCCCCTCGTGTTTCAGTGTTTCAAGAGCCTGGTGTCACCTACAAACCGAGAGAGAGAGTTCACAGTGCTCCCTGCCTCTTTCGGGTCATCCTTGGGGGAGGGCTCCTAAAACTCGTGTGGTGGAGGGAGAGGCAGTCCGATCCACACGTTATTGCAGAGGCTCAAGGAGCTGTGGCTCACAGAAGCGAAGGGGTCTTCCCATGGCCACAGGGCTGGGGGTGGCAGAGCTGGCATCTCGTGACTCCGCTGTAAAACAGGGCTGTCTCGTGTATGTTTTTTCACCCATTGTCTCGTTGATACGTCCTGAGGAACGGTCTCAGTCATTTTGCTTTGGCATGCATTCTTGTCAAAGACATGTCACAAATGAAAGTAAATTCTTTGTGGAGGCTGTCCTTTGTTCACATGTGTGTTTAGGCTTTCTGAGGAGTTGCGCAGGCCGCGTCCTGTCCTTTGTGGAGCTTACCGTTTTACATTATGCTCGCTGACGCGTGTGGGCGTCCTGCCCGCGGGTCGGCTCTTCCTGCTCGTCTGTGGCTGTCTCCTTGGCCGTTGCTGTCGGGGAACTCTAGATGCCCGATGCCCATTAACGTTGGCAGTCGTGCCACACGAGCTGTCACAGAAGGTGAGGCGTCACGAGGCCTCTGATTGCTTCTCCTTTCTCTCTTCTTCAACCTGTTGGTTTTTTGGTACCCCGTGGGCCTTTGGACAGGTTCCTGGCTGGCGCAAATGGTTTTCACTTGACTGCTGACCTAAAGGTTGGCGGTTTGAACCCATCCGGTGGCATCACAGAAGAAAGTCCTGGCAATCTGTTTCCTTAAAGATTACAGCCAAGAAAACCTTACACGGTAGTTCTTCTCTGTACTGTGTGGCGCTGCCATGAGTCGGGATTGACTCAACAGCAGTGGGTTTGGGTTTTTTGAAGGGGATGGGGCTTTTGGACGTATGATATCCTGTGCTGACCGTCGGGACCTAACATTTCCTGGCGCAGAAGCCTGGAGTACGCCTCATCTCAGGAGGGAGCAGAGCCGGGGGGCACAGAGAGGATGCTTCCAGACACTTCCAGAGGGAGAACAGACCCTATCAGATGACGGGGAGCGGGAGGGCTGGCAGGCTTGAGTGCTGGCACTGTGCTGAGCACACTCCACGCTTGGTTTTAGTTTATCCTAGACAATATCTTTGTTGTAGGTACTGACTCAATTTTTTGGTTTGGTCATTATCTTAGGGAACTCTGATGGTGCAGTGGTTAAGCACTCAGCTGATGACCAAAAGGTGGGCTGTTCAAACTCACCAGCTGCTCCACGGGAGAAAGATGTGGCAGCCTGCTTCTATAAAGATTACAGCCTTAGAAACCCTATGGGGCAGTTCTACTCTGTCCTACAGGATCACTGAGTCGGAGTAGACAGGATGGCAGTGGACTTGCTTTGGTTTGGTCATCATCCCCACTTCACACAGAACTCTGGCTCAGGGGGTTAGGTACCTTGCTCAGGAGCACATAACTGGGAGGAGGGGCACCAGACTCCAAAGTCCATACTCTCCACCACACTGCAGTGCCTCACAGGAGGTTTCCGGGCTGCTTTTTCCTTCAGTCAGAGTTGTCCAAGGCTTGCCATTTCCTCATTCTAGTTGATTTTACCACAAGCCCAGCCGAAGCTGTGCTCTTTCTCCCTCATCACCTTAGTGTTTGGGCTCAAGCTGATGATCCTGAGGCAAAGCCACTCATCCTCCAGCTGTCATTCCCCGGGGCCTTGTGGGCTTTAGCAAACACAGGCCAGCTCAAAAGATTCCATCCTGAATTCTTCCGCTCCCCTGGGCCCGGGTCCAGAGATATCCCTGGACCTCTAGGGGCCCAAAGCTGGAGAGCCACAGCAACCATTCCTTGTGAGCCCAGACCCCTTTCTGCCTCTCAGGTGTGGCTCGCAAAGGGCAGCACTGACAGCAGCCTCAGGAAACATCTTTGGAGAATGAGGAAGTTTGGGATTTGGAATCAGATGAATCATAATTGACAGCAAGCCACTGGATGATCAGGTGGCTTCCAGGGAGGGCCCATGTGCCTGAAGCCGGTGACTGACGTGGCTGGCACTTTCAGGTCCAGCGGGCCTGTCCTCAGGGTTGGCTTGTCTAGGACCATTGGCAGCTGTGGTGATGGCCCGGCCAGGCACTGGAGGGCCCTGTTGGAGTCCTGTGGCAAGCCTGTCTGGAAGCTGAAAAAGTCAGTGGGAGAGGTTAAGTCGGGGGGACCAGTGAGTGCTCAGAGGGGTTGGGGCAGGTGGATGTCCTTGGCACCCATCAGGAAGTGCCTCTGACTCACAGGGACTCCGGTGAGGAGGGAGGGAGAGGAGATGAGACAGGGAGGGGAACTAGTCGGAAGCCACTTCAGCCTTCCTGGCTGCAGCCTGTTGGGGTCGTGGGCTTAGCGCAGTGGGCAGTAGGCAGGAAGAGCCAGGGCCTTCAAACAGACCCGGCCAGGGTGACTCACCAGGGACCTTGGCAAAGTCAGTTCCTGGCGATCCTCTTATAGTAGCTGCTGCCTTCTTCCCTGATGACTAGGGGGACAGTCTCACAGTGCTTACCGAAATGAACCGGCCAGAGCACAGTCGGAGAGTAGGAGATGTGCCTGTGTGTGACCAGCGCTGCAGACTAGCCCACTGGTTTGAATTTAAAGTCTGCCCCCTGCCCCCTGTGCCGTTTCTCTCCCACAAACAGTGTTTGGGCTTTTTTGCTTTTTTCCTCTTTCTAGCAATCTCCTCAAGAGAGCAGATGTCTGTTGTCCCTGCCATACTGCTGTCTGGGAGGGGAGGAGAGAGAGATATTGAGATGCTGAGGGCAGGAGAGGTTCTGGGCTGGGTTCTGAGTGCGTCTGGGACAGCTTGGCCTGTCCCTCCTGTGTGCTGCGAGATCCCCCAGGAGGTGATGGAGGGCTGGCATTGCCCCGGGGGGAGTTTACGTTTGACTTCCCCGCTCAACCTGGTGGTTACTCACAGCTTTGGAGTGGAGAAAGGCCGCTGTCGTCGAGTGGATTCCGTCTCATAGCAACCCTGTAGGACAGAGTAGAACTGCCCCACAAGGTTTCCAAGGCTGTAATCTTTACAGAAGCAGACTGTCACATCTTTCTTCTGCAGAGTGGCTGATGGGT